CCCCACTCAAAAATCGATCTCAGCTCAGGTACGTTCAAATGGGCTGAAGTTTGGAGCATATGTTGGGGCTGAAGTGGGGAGGCCTTAAATAAAAGCAATAATAGGGTGTGGGTGTGGGTGTCGGTGTGGGGTGTGGGTGAGTGTGGGTGTCGGTGCGGGTGGGTGTGGATGTGGGGTCTCGGGTGTGGGTGTGGGTGGGTGCGGGTGTGGGTGGGGGCGGGTGTGGATGTGGGTATGGGATACGGCTGATCACTCTTCTGGGATCATCACTCGCACCGACACCCACATCCACACAGATACCCACATCCACACAGATACCCACACCCACACCCACACCTAGGCATGCACCCAAACTCAATAGAAGAATTTGGATATTTCAAACTTATCTCATTGATTATAAACTGTATCAGTAAACTGTAGCACCATTAATATTGAAGGAAGTCTGCCTTTGACAACTAAATGGAAAATGATCAAATGAGTTGCTCCATTAAATAAGATATTCAAAGAGAACTGAACAACCCGCCAAACCCAAACTCATTGGGTTTGGGTATTTTGATTGATTCTGGTATCTAGTCTAAGAAGGTTATCGAAATTCCTCCTTTGGTATTCTGTAGTGTCATTCTCCTACTTCAGGTTTTTACTGAAAACAAACTGTTGTGTCGCATGGTTCAGTAAATAACGTCATTTTTCGTTAATTTGGCAGAAGCTACCCAAACGGTTTGGGTGCATGCCTATCCATACCCACCCCCACCCCCACCCCCACCAACACCCACCCCCACACCCATACCCACACCCACACTCACACCCAACCCACACCCACACCCACACCCAGAGATGGAACCGGTACCGGTTACCGGCCGGTCCGGCCCGGTCCGGTACCGGTACGGATTTCAGACCTGCCGGTCGCCGGTAGACCGGTCGATTACCGGTAGACCGGTCGTGACCGGTAGACCGGCCGGTAACCGGTAGATCGGTCTGTCTTTTTTCTTTCCTGGTTTTATTGCATAAACTAGTTAAATCTGCGAAATCTTGATGCTATCTTGTGCAGAATACATATGAAAATTTCGGTGAAAGTCGATTGCCTGAACTATCACTATCGAAAACATAGAATTTATATTGGTAAAAATTGT